TACAATTAATTTTTTAATATTTTAATTTGATGGAAATGGAGTAGAATTAAAGAAAAGAAAAATAAGGAAAGAATAACAAAAGAAAAAAGAAGGAAGAAGCTTCAGGGAAGAAAAGAAAGGAACGTAAATTTTTAAAAGTGGGATCAGCATACCATGCGGAAGGTGAATCGATTACACGGTATAATTTTCCCTTTTATATATATATATATATATATATATATATATATATATATATTGATTTTGATTAAAAACTTTTCTTAAAATATCTTTCAAGGTCGCTACCCTGGCGGCACTAAAAAAATGGACAAACGCATGAAAAGAAAAATGATGGAGATGCGGGGTATCGATCCCCGTACCTCTCGCATGCTAAGCGAGCGCTCTACCATCTGAGCTACATCCCCAATTTTGACAATGTTTGGCTTCATGCATTTATAAATACTACAATCGAGAATACTATAAAGTGTAAACTATTAGCAGAAGCGAGTATCGGTGTAGAAAGATTCAAATCTCGACTCCTACATTATTAGATACGCAGTATATACTTTTCCCCTCCTTTTTTTCGTGTTACATGATATCGAAATATCTAATGTAATTTCTAAACAACAAAAATGTTCCTCTAGTTATAAGACACTGCAACCCTTCATCGAATATACTCATTAGGGCTGAATAGAAAAATGAAGACTCAAATCTAGATACTTTTGTTTATGGCTTTAAATTTGAAAGTTGTCGAAATTGACGAAAATAGATCAAAATATGTTAAAATTGATTAAAATTAATAAAACCCAATGAAAGTTGACTCGAATACTACAACCGGATTCTTAATCTCATCATTTTCAAAATCATTCGTAAGAGAATTGAATCGATAAAAACCTGAATTTTCATTATTTTAGGCTTCTTTTATTCTCATCGAAAATGAGATCATTATACGCATAATAGTAACTAGTAAAATCACAATTAACAAAATTGTAATACGTTTGAATGTGGATCATGAAAGTAAGAATTTTGCAAACAAATTTAAAGTAGATACAATAATCTTTTAAACCATCCACACATTTTAGATATATATTATGTTCTAAAATTAGAAATCTTCAACTAAATTGTAATTCTGAATTAAATAATATGTGCATTTTAATCTTTTAGAATATTTATATTATATCTAAAAATATGTTAGTTGATGAGACATGATTGGATGCTAAAACAAAGTTGAAATGTATATGGTGATAAACTTTGAAGAACAAGGGTTTCGATAGAGCCGAAGCAAATATTGAGTACATCGAGTACATATTTGTTGGAGGCAGAAGCAATGACAATAGAGAAATTACCTTAGATGATATGTAGATATCGACCTGTGATATTCTGTTACATAGGCTCCATAATTAATGACGTCGAATGAGATAAACATGTATTCCATACATAGAATTAGAAAGAGTGAAATGGAAGAGCATGTCAGAAATTTTATGTGATCGAGACATGTCGACTAGAATGAAGGGTAAGTTTTATCAGGCATCATTTAGGCTTGCATTACTGAATGACATAGAGTGTTGAGTTGTGAAGCAATGTCATACTCAAAGGATGAGTGTGACTAAGATGCACATATTGTGTTGGACACACAGATGCATTAGAAAAAACACCTTGAGGAATGAGACAATCAAATAAAATGTGGGAGTAGTCCCTATTGAAGATAAGACTCGATAGTCTCAATTGTGGGAGTAGTCATATAACTTTTTATTGTGTCTACGACGCGAATACGTGATTCAAGATCATTTTTTTTACTTTAATCGGGATAGGACTGGATCAGAATTTAGGTAGGCGGGATCATTGATGACACTCTAGTCGTTGTGTGCCTCAAAATAAATTGAATACTATCACTAATACTAGTATAGTGAAGTAGAGTTCATATCCACAAGGAAAGGAATACTTTTCTTTTATGAAACTAGTAATTAAAATGGAGGTTTCAAGGTTTGTTTGATTTTAATTAATTAAACACTAAGATGAATGACTTACATGATTTAAATTAATGAGATAAAAGACTTGGCTTTGCTACTTTCCGCTTGTTGATATGTTTGTTGATCCCGGTTATATCTATAACTTATCCCCTCTCGAATACTCAATTGAGGAGTATCTCTAATTTATCGAGGGTAGTTATTAACAACGACTGTTCATTAATAACCCTTACTATTATTAGCCAAGTATAGAACACCGCCATATACCGACTTGATAGTAGCTTTTAATCTCTTAACTCCTTGATGAAATCAATTGAGATTGATAACCTCAACACAACGGTTTCGGTTTAACCAACACACTTAATCCCTCTTAAGATGATTAACCACGACCGTGCATTAATAACCGAAGTTACTTACTTGTGAAACCATCAATGATTAACCATTGGTTCATTGATCGTTTCTAGTAGTAATTAATGTCAAGATGTTAACTAATTGTCATCTTAGCAACACTCCCCAACATTAATATAGAGATAGAATAAGGGAAGAATTAATATTGAAGGGAAGAAGTAAGAAAATAACTCACAACTTTAACATTCAACAAGTTTCAAGAGCAAAACCAAGAAATAGAAGTTTAGTTCCTCATTTGAAGACTAAACATGCTACTATGCTAGAAAATATAAAGAAATAGCTATTCTAAACTGAGCTTAAGAGTATATGTGAATTGGTGACCAAATGAAGAAGAAAAGAGGGTGTATTTATAGGTGTTTGGAGGTGGCATGATCATTTACCCGACCGGGTTTTTGATTTACTAGATCGGGTAAAAGACAAATCTTTACAAAATCTTTGTCCTGCACGTTTAATTGTCTCCAAATCAGATTTGATGTTCGGGTCAAGTCAAACCCGATCGGGTATATGATTTACCCGACCGAGTTTTTGACTATTTTCCCAAATTTTCACTTTGTCTTATTCCATTGCACTTTCCTTGACCTTTCAAGTAGGGGTGGGTTCGTAGAACCGAAAACCGAAAACCGAATCAAATCAAATCAAACCGTGACCAAATAAACCGAACCGATGAAAAACCGAAACCGAACATAAAAAACCGTACCGAACCGAACATGTTTGATTTCAAATCGAACCGAAACCGAAAAAACCGAAAAAACCGAAATATTTATAAATATAAAAAAATCATTTATTTTATATGGAGTATATGGCCGGTCATGTGGTCAATGCTCAAGACCGAAAGCGTAAGAGGCTTTTTACGAGTCCAGTAGTCCTGTAGTACTCCATAATCTTTTAACCTAAAACGTAAGAGACTTATTTTGCTGCACTATATTCAAGTTTACTGCACTTGGGACTGCATTTTATTTTGTTGCACTTTATCCAAGTTTACTGCACTTGGGACTGCATTATATTTTGCTGCACTATATCCAAGTTTACTGCACTTGGGACTGCATTTTATTTTGCTGCACTATATCCAAGTTTACTGCACTTAACTTTTAAATGTCATGTACTGATGTTTAATGCACTTTATTTAAATTGTAAGACAAGGATTGACTTTCATCATTTCAGTTTAATGCATTTGCTTTTTTCTTTTTATTTTGGGACATCATTTTATTTTCATTTCAGTTGGGACTGCATTTTATTTTGCTGCACTATTTTCAAGTTTATTGCACTTAGCTTTTAGGTGTCATGTACTAATGTTTAGTGCACTATATTTAAATTGTAAGGCAGGGATTGACATTCTTCGGTACTTAGTGTTTTATTTTCCTGCACTTTGGTTATTTGCACCTCATTTCTTTTTTCAGAAAGTATGTGTCTTTTTGGTTTAAAACCGAAAAAACCGGAGTCAAACCGAACAAAACCGAACCGATTCAACCGTGGTTGGACAAAAAAGTATGAGCAAACCGAACCGAACCGAAGTTTTTAGTTTGATTCTACATTTGGTTTTAGGTCAAAACCGAACCGCATAAACCGAACCCACCCCTACTTTCAAGGATCCTTTTGATGATCTTTGTCTGGTTTAAGCTCAAAATAGTCCCAATCTATACAAATTACAAACAACTAGGAAAAATAAAGCATTACACCAAAAGTGTGTAATTTCGCTAACAACAATAAATAAAAGTAGTTAAAATTACAAACATAAACAATAATAATTTTATACAATCAATCATCCGGCTCCCACCCCTATATACACATGCACAAATATTAAAAGGAGGATTTCCCAAAGTAGGAGTAAATGAAGTTTGAAATACCAAAATAGAACTACTATGTTTTTATTTTTGAGATAGGACTAACGTGACAGTATTTACTGTCATCTTGTAGGCGTGACTGCCAAATAATTGCAGTACAATGCATTTAACATAGCATTATTTACTACTACTATAATTAATGTCAATATTTTTCAATAATGGCAGTATTTTTCATACATGACAGTAACAACTCCTATTACGGGAAGAAAAACATCATAATCCTATTTTGAAATTCCATACTTCATTTACTCTTATTTAGGGCAATTTTTCATATTAAAACATACGGAGTAAATACTGAATAAAATAGTTGGTGTTTTGGAAACTTCTTTTTTTAATTTAAAATAAGTTTATGTTATAAAGATTTGTTTGTGTTATTTGTTACTCCGTACAAGAATATCAGAAGATACACAGTGTGTAACTTTGAGTTCAACAAATTCCACCATGCTGTTTTACAAAAAAATCAAATTATTTTGATTTTTCAAAAAATATTCTTACAAATAATAATTTAGGAAAAAGATTATAGAAATCGCAATTATGTAATGCAGTAAAAAATGAACATATTACCAACAGATTGAGTAGTTTGTTTTGTGTACAAACATAAGAATTGCATAAATCAACGATTCATATGAAAAAATTGAGCAAATTTGGACTTTGCAACACAATTTTAAAAAGTTGAGCCTCATTAATTAAAAGATGCTCCACAATTCCATTGAATAAATAATAGAGCACGGAGTACACTGTTATTAATTAATTCCTTAAAGAAACTAATTTTTTCTAAATTGATGGATTAATTAAAAAGTAAAAGGATATAAAAATTCTCTGGACGTATATTTCTTCATCTTCCTGTCCGTCCTTCTCTTTCTTTGCCTCCTAAAACAATAAACATTCCACGGAGCAAAAATCAAACACCAAATTATAGTAAAATATCAATAATCATTTGCATATTTTTAACGAACCCCTTCCTTCTCAAGGCTTTACGGCCTTGGTCGGGGTTGATATCTTTATATCGATACATGCAAATAGGAGAATTTACATTACATATTTAAAGCATTTTAGGATCTTTTTTGTGATGTTGGGGTGTAAATCATTGGCCGAATTGCCCAGGTTCTGTGGCTATTTTTGAAATTGGTTTGTACATGAATTGAGATGAGGGGGGAGGGGTAATTTGGCATTCAGACATGGCAGTGGTGCGATACGCCGTCATTCTGATAGTTTTTGTGACATCTATGATAGCCATTGATCCTTATTGGAAGCTTATAAGCAACCATTTAGGTGGTGGAGGTCCTTGGAATGTTCAAAAGACAGAGAAACATATGGTATGTCAATTTAGCTTTCTTTTCATGATGTACTGTTAGTTATTGATGATAAGAGATTGTTACAAATAGATTAGTTTATTGATTCTTGGAAACATGTATCCTCCTAGTCAAGTTGGTTGAATATTTTTAATAATTTTACTTTTGGAATATGCCAAATTGCCAATATTTGATTGCGTATTGACAATAGTAGTGATGCATTTGTTAATGAAAATTAGAATAGTATTATGAGACTACAAGACTTAATAAGATATGTTGCCTATCTCAAAGCTATTTATGGTTCATTTTCTTCTTACTTGGACATGAAATCTGTATTGATCAACTCTTCAAACAGGCAGAACAAGTATGGATTTTATGTATGAAAGAGTTTAAAGAATACCCTGCAAAGGATTCCAATTTCATAATAAAGTCTTACAACAATCTGTTGGCGAAAAGGAGATTACGGGAAGTTGAGGAGAAGCACATTGATATTGGCTGCATAGTGGAGAAAAATCCCTCTACACATGATGAACACTACCCTCATTTTATCAAGTACACTGAAGAGTTTATACCGAGAAGATCATTAAGACATAGAACTAAGCACAAACATAAATCCGTACGTAGCCCCGCTCCATCTCCAGGACCATTTCACAAAGCCCATCTCAGCTCTCACTCTCCCTCTCCCCAATTCAATACTTTTCTAAAACCTCCTTCAGAGCCCCCAAAGCAAAAGCCTCCTCTTGACTTGTTGTCTCGTCCATTTTTAGTTTCCCTCCATGTATCTCCACGCAAACCACCAAACCATCTTCTTGAACTACCAATCGATCCTCCAAGACCACCAAAAGATCTCCCTCAAACACCAAAACCTCTCCCAAAACCATCACATGCTAAGAGTCCTAAGACAAAACCACCTGTTACTCATCGGAAGCCTAAAGCCGTTATCTCAGAAAATAAGGAGGGCAGAAGAACATATATGATTGCTGCCATTGCTGGGTCAACAACGGCAGCATTTTCCTTTGTAGCGCTATTCTTGATTTGTTGTCTCAAGAAAAGAGATAATGTTGGGAAAAAAGATGGAAGACCTCTTCTCAAGAATGGTTCTGGTAATATCATCTCTAAACCTAATTGGAGTTTCATGTTATCACAAATTGGCACAATATTTCTATCTTCAAAAGAAAATCTCCAGAAATGAGTAATCTTGTATACTTAGTTACACAATATAGGAAAAGTATTTACATAATATGAATACTAATACCTATACAAGTTATTCCAATATTGTTGACCAGTATTGGAACAGCGTACGCATTTTTCAGTAATCGAGATCATGAAATTGGATTCTTTTATGCTACTGAGTGACTATAAGGCATCGCTTTAGAGGAGTCAATGGTCCTCTTCATAGGATATCACTTATTTGTTTGATTTTTTCCTTTTTCCTACACTAACAATTATTATGTCCACGTTAATTTTTTGAGAATATTCATTTACTAGAACAACAAAAGAAGGTAATTGGGAGTATCATAAAACTTCCTCCAGACCTATTTAAAGGGCGTGATTTTGTCTTTCACACTAAGCAAAGAAATAATTAAATAATGTTTTATTTCACGATATGCCCTTTTTCAGTGCACTTTCAATGTCCACAACAATTTGTTATCATTGATTAAGATTTTGTTTAATGGGAGCAATTATGGGAAAAATTAAATTTTGCATTGGTGTAATGAAAATGGCAACGATTTAGGAACCCTACCTATAAGTTCGTGCATATGAGACTGATGGATTTAGTTTTAAAAACTCATGTAAATGTACTACTCTGTTTGGTTTGTATACTTTGGTGTAACTATTACTTATAATAAGCTATAGAGGGAGTAGTATACCTTAAAGATTTTTTATTATTTTTTATTTAATTAGGTTCTTCACAAAACTCTCAAAGCATATGTGGTTCTGGAAATAATGACTCCGAGACTTCACTTAATGTGAGTAGTCTATCTGTTGCAAACAGTTCATCAGGAATCAAAACTGTTGGTGATCAAGGCTCCACAGTGAACCTTCAAACATTACCACTTCCTCCTGGAAAGTCTGCACCTCCACCACCTTTGGCTCCACCAGCACCAGCCCCCCCACCACCTAAACCTCCAGCTCCAAAAGCTCCCCCGCCCCCCAAAGCTCGCCCTCCTCCGAATCCACCAAAGCCAGGTGCACCAAAGTCTTCTCCTCTCGGGACACAACACAAAGGACACTCTTCTGGAAGTGAGGGATGTGAAAATGGCGGAGGGTCTCCTAAAACTAAACTAAAACCATTTTTTTGGGACAAGGTTAATGCAAGTCCTGATCACTCTATGGTTTGGCATGACATAAAAGCAGGCTCTTTCCAGTAAGCACGGCATTTTTTACTTTTTTATTTATCATTTTTTAAATTAATTTTTGATATTATTAAAAATCTCTACTAGTTAAAAGCAATGGCCTAAAGACTTAATTAATTTAACTGATGTTGGACATACTTAGTTACGGTGGTCGGTGGCGTGACCATGTTTGTAGTAAATCGAGTGATGCATCTGTTAGATGGATTGAGAGGTGGAGAAAGGAGGTAGGGAGGAGAGGGAGGGGATGACCTAGGCAGCCGTGAATTAAAGTGGTTAGAATTATATGATACTTTTTTGGGTTAGATGAGAGTATCTTACAGAGAGCGAAGTCGAGGGATAGTATGTGTGGATGATTTATCTTATGCTACATATTGTTTGTCTCACCCTTTCTCTATTTATTGTTTTAAACTCTGAAATCATAATGTTACTGACCCCAAACTCTTTTGGGAATAAGGTTTGTCGGTTATTTTTGTTGTTTATTTTGGTCATACTCTTCAACACTCTTTTGGATATTAAAGATTTTAGAATTTTATAATATGATCAGGTTTAATGAGGAAATGATGGAGTCCTTGTTTGGGTATTCTCCATCAGATCAAAACAAAAATGAACACAAGAAAGATTCGTCTTTGAAGTCTACGCCGCAGTATATCCAGATCATTGAAACTAAGAAGGCGCAAAACCTTGCTATTCTTCTTAAAGCCTTGAATGTGACAACTGAGGAAGTTTGTGATGCACTAAAAGAGGGTTAGCTCACACTCGCTTTGGATATTTAAGTTTTTTTATCTTCCTTTTTCTAACTGTCAATTGGGCATTATCTCTTTCATATAACAATAGGTAATGAGTTACCCCCTGAGCTCATCCAAACATTTCTGAAAATGGCACCAACGCCAGACGAGGAACTTAGACTTCGATTATATACCGGGGACATTTCTCATCTTGGACCGGCTGACCGCTTTTTAAAATGTCTTATTGAGATACCCTTTGCCTTCAAAAGGATGGAGTCATTGTTGTTCATGATAAGTCTTCAAGAAGAAGTTTCTTCCATCAAAGAGTCATTTGCTACCTTAGAGGTAAGCTCCCGAAGTCCAAATATTTATTCCATTGAGTATTTAACCTGATTACACATGGTTCATTTCGAATGGTTAATGTTTTTTATTTTGGTTTCAAAATCCTGTAACAAATATCGTGTTTTCTATGTCTACTTTTATTATGAAAGTGTATTTTGGGTAATTTTAAATGCTTCTTCAGTAGTTTCAAAACTGACACCATGTTTTTTGAAACTTTGAAAATATGAAACTCATGATTTCAAAAGATTGTATTCCACTTTAGTTCTGATGAGTATTTTTTCATTCCTACTTTTGATCCCACTTACTTTCTTTTTCCACTTTAGTTCTTTGACAATAGATTGATCATCACACATGTTCCTTTTGGCCAACTTTCTTGCAATAACCAATTGGAAGTTGTAATGAAATTAATTGGAAAAAGGGTCAAATACATCCTTCTACAATTGCAAATCAGTCACCTAAACCCAGTCACCTAAACCCATGTACTAAAAAAAGCATCATATAAACCCATCTACTCTCAAAAAACAATCAACCCGGCCAAAATACCTGAAGATAACCTTTAATAGCAGGTCACCTTGACTTTTTCTATCTCATATTTATTTTTTCCATTTTGTTTTTATTACTTTTTTTATCTTATATTTACTTTTTCGCAATGGGGATTCAAACCCAGGTCGCTCCTGAAGAAATGCAAATGGTAATCCATCTCATCTACACATTCGTTGTGGTAATGTCTGGTTCCAAATGTATTTATTATCGTAAAGATCACCACATAAAAATTAAATATAATAAATTTGTAATTATAATAATATTATAATACTGAGTAACTATTTTTATTGCTATTATTATATTATACTAATAAAGTACTGAGTATTTGTGTCATATTCATAACATCTATCAATATTATTTATAATTTTAATAAATAAATATTACTTTCACATATTGTCCATCCAATTTTAAACACATTTTGATTTTTGTGGAAAAATTGTACGTTTGGGACCATTATGATTTTTTATTTGTTCTTGTAAAAATTTTAAAAATTGAATGAGAGTAATTTTTTATCATATAAATTTAATCTAGGGGAAATTCCTCAAATTGGATTAAATGAAACTTTATTTGCAAGCTATGTTGCACGGAAACGTGAAAATCATAAGGAAACGGGAAACGGGAAACGTCAACTTTTGCTCAAAAAACGCTTATTTGGAGAGTTTCCAAAGAGTTTCCGAGAGTTTCCGAAACGGGAAACGTACTCTTTCCCAAGAGTTTCCGTGTTACATAGTTTGCAAGAATAAGAGTATAACTTTGAAATCCCCTAAATAGGATTACCTTTCGAATCCTACCCTTGCTTTGTTTTAATACATTTCATATTTTATTAAATAATTAAATCATAAATGTAAAAAATTACTCTATTTATGATAAAATTAAAAAAAACAAAAAAATATGAAAGTGAATATTAAATAAAAGGGAAAAGGTGCAAATAAGCCCTCAAACTAACCGAAAAAGTGCAAATCACCCCTTTTATAGGAGGCTCTGTCCAGCTATCGCCATTTGGGGAGGTTTCAAAGGTGCAGATAAGCCCTCGAGCTATCGAACTAACAGTTCTTGCTTGTCATCCAAACATTTATGAAAATCTGTCATTTTTTATAGTTTTCATGTGTTTTATCTATTTTAATTATTTATTATTATTATTATTTTAAATATTAGTTTTATTAGTTTTTATTACAATTTTTATTAGTACTTTTTTATATATTTGTTTTTATCATTACTTTTTAAATATATTTTTGAGTGTTTGATATTTTTTATTACGTACAATTTTATTCTAAATTAAAATAGTTTTTTTATTTTATATTTTCATTACAAATTAAAATATGATTTACCTATTAATTTACAGTTAGGTTAGAATAGGAAGATAAAATATACTTTAGTCATATTTTGGGAAAATAAACAATATGGTCCTATTTGTGCATTTATGTATTTGTTTACTCCTATTTTGGACTATTTTCCATTTAATCTAATATATAATCAACTTTGTCTGTTAATTTTACACTAGTAATTGTGTGAACTTGAAAAGTATATACGGCTCCAGGTAAACATAGAAACAACAAAACACGTAGAAGAGTTAGTTTTCCTCTGTGATGCCTCACCCCATGTCTGTGGTTCGAATCCCCTTGTCGTTCGTAAATTTTATGAAAATTTTTGGTAAGGGACGGGCTTGGGTGAGAGATGGCTAATTTGCCTTTTAAATAAGGGAGATTTCCCAAAATAGGAGTAAATGGAGTTTGGAATTCCAAAAATAGAACTACTATGTTTTTATTCCCGAAATAGGACTAACATGACAGTATTTACTGCCATCTTGTAGGCGTTTTTATTCCTGAAATAGGACTAACATGACAATATTTACTGTCATCTTGTAGGCGTGACTGTCAAATAGCAGCAGTACAGTGCATTTAACATGACAATATTTATTATAATCAATGGCAGTATTTTTTTAATTATGGTAGTATTTTTCATACATGACAGTAAAAACTCCTATTTCGGGAAGAAAAACATAGTAGTCCTATTTTGGAATTTCAAACCTCATTTACTCCTATGTAGGGCAATTTCCCTTTAAATAAAGCAATAAAAATGAATAAATATGAGAGAGAAAGTGAAGGATGACCTGCGATCAACTATTTTGAGCGTAAATGTGTTTATATGATGCTTTTTAGTACATGGGGTTAGATGTCTGATTTGCAATTGTAGAAGGGTGTATTTGACCCTTTTTCCAAATTAATTAGGTAAGTTTTGAGAAGGACCGTATGTGACAACAATGTTATTGTTGTGGAGCTTAAAATAAAAAAATGAAAGACGAGATCCAAAAGTAGTATATTTTTTTCTTTCTAAAACAACACAATCACCCAGCTTACTACTCCTCTTCTCAAAAAAATGAAAACAAGAAAATGATTATATACAAAATCCATTACCAACAATACACCTTACATTGGATGCTGTCTGCCCATCATTTCTTGCAGGTGGCAAGTAATGAACTAAAAAATAGCAGACTATTCCTGAAACTTCTAGAAGCAGTTCTAAAAACTGGGAATCGTATGAATAATGGAACATTCCGCGGTGGGGCCCAGGCTTTCAAGCTTGACACACTCTTGAAACTCTCAGATGTCAAAGGAGCTGATGGGAAGACGACACTTTTACATTTTGTTGTTCAAGAAATCATTAGATCTGAAGGCGTACGAGCTGCACGTAGATTAAAGGAGAGCCATAGTATGTCTAGTGTGAAGACCGAAGATCTTCAAGAAGATTCCCAACAGGATTCCAGGGAGTATTATCGAACCCTCGGTCTTCAGGCAGTCTCTAGTCTTAGTGATGAGCTTAAGAATGTAAAAAAGGCAGCCGTAATAGATGGTGACAACCTCTCACATTCAGTTTCCAAACTTGGGCACTCACTACAAAAAGCTAAAGATTTTCTATACAATGACATGAATAGTTTAGAGGAAGAAGGTAATGAGTTCCGAGAAACACTGGCTAACTTTTTGGACCACGCTGGAGGCGAAATCCCAATACTTCAGAATGAAGAACAAAAGATCATGGCTTTGGTGAAGCAAACAGGAGATTACTTCCACGGGAGTTCGGGAAAAGATGAAGGATTGCGTCTCTTTGTCATTGTTCGTGAGTTTTTAGTAATGTTGGATAAAGTATGTAAGGAGGTAGAAAGGTCAACAAAGTCATTAGTCAAAGCTTCAAGAAAGGAATTATTAACATCATCAACGTCAACAAGAACTCCTTCCCAAGAATCACAAACGGAGTCATTGCCAGATTTTCGCCAACACCTATTTCCAGCAATAACAGCACGAAAGATAGATGGTGATCTGAATTCAGATGAAGAGAGCTCTTCTCCATAGACTTACCTGAAAAGGGTATACAAGGAATTTGTTGGTTGGTTGGGATCATCACGCTCTTGCTCTGACTTACTCTAACCGTTAGGCACAACTTTAACCTTCTTATATATTTATTGTGTATCAGATTGAGACCCTTATTTACTAACTTCAAACGTTAGGGTGGATAAGGTGTAGCTAGAGTCAGCTTTCTCAGTGGAACAATTGGTAAATATGTGATGTTATAATGGTTTTGGTGTTTGTATCGTATTGGTTTTGATTTTCGATTTTCGAATGAAGTGGCTTCTTTTCTATTTAAGCTTGTGTCTTCAAACTTGTATTTTGTGTTCATTTTACTTGTATATTAAAAAAAATCTTTAGAGGCGACGGGTTCAAATCAAGTCAGTTTACATTTGAGTTTAGATTTAATCGAGTATATTAAATGATTCAATATTTTTTGTGTTGAAAGAAAAAAACGTCAAATTATATTAATTTAACTAATGGTTTGTAGTTACAATCATTCAATAACTCAAATCCAACGATTTTCTAACAGACTTCATCTAATAAACTCAATAAAAGTACTACGATGAGATTCAGATTCTAAGATGGTCACATGTGAATCATTGATTAGGTCAATTCAGAATTCTATCTATCTGAACTTTAATCGCACTCTTTATCAAATGAAGAAACTCAAAATAGTAAAAAAGTTCTAGCATAGTACTGAGTAATTGATAACTAATCACTCGTCACATGCTGTAGTCATAGTTGCTATACTGTGAGCATGCTGCTCCCACATGCAAAAATGCGTGTTACTGTTCACGCGGGTGAACAATAGCCTTTTTTTCATTGTCCAATAGCAAAATGATGTAACTCGCGTGTAAAGAAATATAACTCACGTTGATAAGAAATGTAACTGCATACAAGTCGAAATGTAACTTGTCTAATTCGAATGATAAGAAATAAACATTGATTTCAATGAAAATAAGAAGTCTAATTGCTCAATTACTTTCAGTAAATAGTGAATATGTTTTTTTAATAGCAGACCATAAATAATGTTTCTTTCTTAAAATCATTTTTTTTGTTAAAAATATCAATTTTTTCCCAAAACAATCATTTTTTTTCAATAACAAAAAGATTTTTTTGTTTCTCTAGCAGAAGTCTACTTTAATATTAAACCATAAATAATGTTTCTTTCTCAAAATCATTTTTTTGCCAAAAAATTATTTTTTCCGCCAAAATAATCTTTTTTTTTTGCAAAAAACAATGATTTTTTGTTTCACTAGCAGATGTTTACTTAAATAGTGAATATGTTCTGTTTTTAATATTAAAACCATAAAAATGTTTTTAATTCTTTTTTTGCCAAAAGATTCTATTTTAATAGCAGTGACTTTATGTTGTGATGTAACTCGTGTTATTAGAAAATCTAACTCAGGTGTATGCAAATTGTAATGTGTTGAGGCAAACTCAAATGTAACTGGCACATAGAAAGATGTAACTCACGTACACAAAGATGTCACTTACGCACAAGAAGCTATAACTCCATATACTATCAAATGTAACTCCTTATAAATCTATAAATATAACTCGCACATATGAAAAATGAAATCTCATTTTTTATCAAATTGAAATCTAAATAAACAACTTAATGTCTTTAAAACACTAAAATATATAAAAGAGATAAGAAATTTATTATAGAAAAAAGTGTATGAATACGAAAAATATTTTACAAAAAAGTGTATAAATGAAAAAAAAAACACAAAAAATAAATTTGATAATAATTCAAGATGAAGAAAAAAGTAAAAAAAATTGTGTATGATTATGAAATACAATATACTTATTTTATGTGGGTTAATAAAATTTTGAAATAAATTAGTAAAGAAATAAGTTCATTCAGTTATAATTTAATTAGTTAAAGATAAATTTAAGTAAAAACTAAAAAATAATTAGATATAACTCGTGCATAATAGTTGCTCGATTTTAGGGTTATTAGCGGAAGATATCAAAATTATTAGTAGGCATTTTACTAGCATTACCTACACTCATGTTAGGCGTTCTGCGAACACAGTTGCTCATGCGTTAGCTAGGGTGGCGTGTTCTTTGTCTGATCGCCGATTTTGTTTTTTTTCTTCACCGGATTGTATTACTCATGTACTCCATCATGATTTAATTAGTGCTAGTTAATTTGCTTTGGTTAAAAAAAACTTCTAAAAACAAATAAAAGAGTTAAAAAGATATATTATAGAAAAATGTATACATATAAAAATATAGGGAAAAATACGGAAAACGTACATGTGGTTGGATCCATTTTTAGACAGGGTCACGTGTTTCATTTTTTATCAAAGTGGTTCATGTGTTTGAACTCCGTTATCACACGAGGATGAGTCGGGATCGCGTCACATGGTGGGATTGCAATATTGCGGTTGCATTCTTTAGCGCAACCGTATCGGGCTGCAATTGAGGTGAAATTTCAAATCACGGGGAAAATATACTATGTAACCAAATGAAACCACATCAGGGCAACATCAGATCATATTAGTACATCAACACTAATTACTTTCTTATTTCGTTTGAATGTAAAATTAAATTACACTGCATCGGCCGCAATACGCATCGCAACGGTCACAATAACCGCAACCGCAATGACCGCAATCGCAACACTACCACAATATAAAACCTTGATATGGACTAAAGAGTAAATATATAGTATATGATGATTGATAATTTAATGTAGTCATTATTGTTTGTGGTTCGATCAAAGTAAAATGCATTATATTAAACTTTGGATCCTATAAATAATTCACAATATCTATTACGGAGTACTACAATAATATTTTTCATTTTAACTCATACTCCGTATCAAATTGACGCGCTACCGGGACATTGTCCCAGGTTTTACACTATTTTTTAGTATTTTAATTTGATGGAAAACGGGGTTTAATGCATCAAACCCTCTCGTGAAATATAAATTCGGCGCATTAGTCTTATGTGATTTAAATAATGAATTAAACTCCCATGTGTTATAATTAATCAAGCACAAAGCCCCCTTCAAGAACAAATTTAATTTCCAAAAAAATGAAAAATGATTTTGACAAAGTTACATGCATATTCAACCATATTATTAAGAAAAGTGATTTTAAAATTGTAAAATTTGTTCTTGGAGGAGATTTTGCGCATGATTAATTATAGGCTAAAGGGTCAAATAGGCCCCTGAACGTATACGAATTGCTCAATTGGCACCCCAAACCCAAAAAAGCTCTGATCCAACCCACCAACCAAATTAACTACTTCAATCCCCCCATCCAACCGGTTACCTCCCGGTTGTCCCCTTACGCCTGTGAACAGTACTGTGCACCAAGGGTTATCACCAAGGGTCGCCGGAGCCGCCGTCGTCGTTCGCACCACCGTGAACCCTCCGGTAAGGCCACCTGCACCAAGTGGTGCTCTCTGAAGCGCCCCAGGTCTCGCCGCTCCATTTCCGGAGAAACGCCGCCGACCGTAGCGATGCTCGTGGCTCGTCGTTGGCTCCTCCAGCCGCCGCCAGAGCCGCCACACCGCCGTTCGTCATCAACGGCCAGCCATTGACCACTCATCCATCTGGTCCGATGTCGTGGGAACCCCCACCGCTCTGCCGACGCAACTTGAGGTACCTGCCGGCTGAGAGCTCTCTGATTTCCGCCATTAATGGTAGCTTGGAGTTTTTGGGGAGGTATGTCCCGACCTTCCAGTTTCTGGTTGAAAGGGAGACAACCGGGAGGTAACCGGTTGGATGGGGGGATTGAAGTATTTAATTTGGTTGGTGGGTTGGATCAGAGCTTTTTTGGGTTTGGGGTGCCAATTGAGCAATTCGTATACGTTCAGGGGTCTATTTGACCCTTTAGCCTTAATTATAACACATGAGGAGTTTGACGCATTTTTTAAATCATAGGCTGTTAATGGGCAAAATTTATATTTCACAAGGGTATTTAGTGCATTAAATCTTGGGAGTTTTTTTTCGAATTAATGTTAATTAATTAATTAATTACGAAAATAATGCTGGTAAAAAAATATTTACCGATCTACTGCTGGGTTTAACCATGGTTAGGGAAAGTCGCCCAACGGTTGGGCGACTTATAAGTCGCCAAACGGTTTGGCGACTTATAAGTCGCCCAACCGTTGGGCGACTTTCCCCTTTCATATAAACGCATACCAACAACTACTGCTAGCCACGCACGATCGTGCCTGGACGGGTAGGCACGATCGTGCCTAATTCCGAAAGCAGAATTTCATCAGTTTTTTTGCCTCATTTCAACCCAGACTCATCTTTTTGCTATAAATAAGGTCTCCCTTCTCCTGTTTAAGTGTTACGAGCGAGATGCAACACATTATAAAACATACAACACACATGTTCACAAACACATACATAAACACATACAACTCACCGGTAAAACACAGTACAATCATCAAACATTCATAACAATTAATCATCTAATATTCATACTCGAACACATAAATACAACATACAAGAGAAAATACGTAAAATGTTGTAAATTGTTCCTACAACATCTAAAATGTTGTAAATTATCTAAAATGTTGTACAAGAAAAACTGCAATACAAAAGACAAAGTAGAAATTGTCATGGTCATCTTGATCACTCGACCTAGGATCCGCTGTCACCTGCATGCCTACAAACAAACTAAATCGTATTAGTTAATTTTTACTATTATACTAATTCTTTTATTTAATCATCAATTTTATTAATTAATATGTTTTCATGCAACATTGAGATGAACTGTGAATTACTATAGTTAACACCTTACCCACTGGACCCCCCATCGTGTCTTGATGATCTCTTCGCACATGTGGCCCTATTATGGCCGGTTTGGTGGCATTTTCCACATCTAACCGTTCCTCGGGGACCTTCATCCATCTCATTCTTAATACGTGTGGACTTAGGTCTTCCCTTAGCCCGAAACATGGATGAATCGTGCACGATTTCAGGTCCATTGTAAGTAGGCCAATAATCACGATCAGGAATGGGTTTGAAGACTCTATGATATGTGGCCGCGTATTGGTCAGATGAGAAAAACTTATCCACAAATGGAGCATAAGGCAAGCTACGTTGTCTGCACACGGCTAACACATGGGAGCATGGAATCTTATATATCTCCATCTTTTTACAAGTGCAAGTTTTCCGTTTCAGATGGACAATTTGTTTTCTCCCACCCTTCCCCAACGTTCGGCCACCACAACCGGTTTCCACTTGAAATAACCCTCGGCCTAATCAAATGGAGTAACTATGTGATGCTTGACATTCTCTCTATTCTTATCAATTAAATCTGTGATGTATGGGGAGTACTCGTGGCCTTCTGTCACTCTCATTTTACTGGTTTCACGCCTATTAACAAAATAAGCATTAACTCGGTAAAAGGAAACCTGGACCAAAGCGGTGATGGGCAAATATCTAGCATTTTTCATCACGCTATTGAAAACCTCTGCCAGATTAGAAGTGATGGTACCGTATCTGTACCCGCCATCGTGGTGCAATGACCACATTTCCGGGGGAATGTTCCCCAGAAATTGTCGTGCCTCCAAACTCATTTCACCTATCTTCTTGAACCCACCATGAAACTTCTTTTTCTGATGTTGCCGTGCGGTCCAGACAAAAAGATTTTTTAGATGAATGTCTTTGAAATGAGTGTGCACATTCGATGCAAGATGGCGGATACATAGCCTATGATGCGCATAAGGCTCCTTCCAAGTACTGCCCACCTCATTCATTGCCCTGACAATACCTCCATGCCGATCAGAAATGACACACAACTCCCGATTAGTGACAAACTGCCTAATACATGCCATAAACCATGGCCAACTATCCCCATTCTCAGATTCAACAACTGCAAAGGCCACTGGAAATATTTGGTTGTTCGCATCACAACCCATGGCCACGAGCAGTGTACCCTTGTACTTTCCATACAAGTGTGTGCCATCAATAGTAAGTACGGGTCGACAATGCTTAAAACCATGTATTGATGGCTTGAATGCCCAAAAAACTCTTTGAAACTGCATATAACCTGTGGGAGTATCAGGGGGTGGGTACCACTGCACAATAGTTCCAGGATTTGAATGTTGGAGCGCTGTCATGAAACGGGGCAATTCAGAATATGACTTCTCCCAACCGCCAAATATTTCTGCTATGGCCTTTTGCTTCCCCATCCATGTTCTCCGGTATGATACCGTATACCCATACTTTTCCTTCAGCATCTCAATGATAGTATGCACTTTAAGGGAAGGATCAGTGCGAACAATGTCAATCACATCTTTACAGATGAAATCTGAAGTCAAAGCCACGTGATCGGTAGTGTCGGTGTTCCCAACACATGTAGCAGAATGAGGTCCAGGATAACGCACAATTGTGAAGGTGTCAAGGTTGCCTTTGTTCTTTGTGGCGCGTATTCTCCAGGGGCAATTACATTCTTTCTTCCTTTTGCATTGTGCCACCCATTTGTGTTTATCGGACTCTATCACCCGAAAAAATTGGTTCCGTTTGATAGAATACAAGCTCACCATATTGATGACTTGTTCTTTGTTGTCAAACTGTTGACCGACCTCAAACTCACCTTCGGGGGTAAACCTTTTCTCACCTGATCCACTCAGCCACGCATCAGTAAAACCTTCAGGGAGATCATACATTCTAGTAAAGTGGGTAGACGGGGCAATTGCCGTGACCGTATCACCATCATCTTCATCAGATTCTGTCACATCTTCACCATTGATGTTGTCGTCAGTATCATCATCACTTCCCTGCCCATCCACAAATGATGCACCGTTGTGCAAATACCTACCATCTTCCTGTATAACCATGTCCATTACAGGAGCATTTGAGGAGTTCCCAACATTCACACCTGCATTGACATAATGCCTAGATACAACATCATTTGATGTTGATGGAGTACGATAAACGTCACATATGGATTCCTCAATGTATATCTCAAGCATTGACATGTCCTCCATCTGAACTATGGCCCACATATTTGTTATAGCTAGCTCATCAGTGAGGGGCATAAGCATGTACTTTCCCCCGTTCATGGGAAATTTCATTTTCAAACGCAAAGAAAGGCTAGGATGAATCATTGTGGCTGTATGTATTTTTTGAAGGACCTCGAGCATGCAAGCACCACGACAAACCATGACAAATGTGGTTGTACCACCTTCATGGCATATTTGACCAGCATCCTCATAATAGTTCCCTCCCCAATGACACATAATTGGGAGGCTCGAGAAATCCATATTCTAATAACAATTCAAATATATCCAAAAGTCAAGATTCACAAACAACTCACATTTCAATATGAAAATACCCAAATTTTGATATCTACATTCAAGTCTACATTTCAATACCCAAATTTAGCTACATTCAAATCCACCCAAATGCCCAAATGTCAAAATATATACATGTCAAAATCAATTTCAAATCAAATTTGAACATTTCATAATCTAAAAATTCCAAAAATTTAACATTCAAAACCCTAAGTTAAAAATGACATGAAATGGAGTTTGATTTACCTACAAGAAAGAAGATAGAGTGTTGAAGATGGAGGTTTGCCGGAGTGGGGTCGCCGGATATGGAAGTTCGTCGGAGTTGGAAATGGCTCGGTCGTCCTTCGTCCTTCGTAGCTGCTGTTTGGGGGATTTGGGGGTTGAGTTTCGTTCGCAGTGTTCTGTTTTGTGGTTGGGCGCTGTTTTTACTTAATGGAAAGTCGCCTAACCGTTGGGCGACTTTCCCCCGACCACGGTTAACCCAACAATATATTGGTAAATACTTTTAACCCAACCTTATTTTCGTAATTAATTAATTAATTAACATTAATTCGAAAAAAAAACTCAAATCTTGAAAAACGAGAAGAATTGAAGAAAAGAAAAATAAAGAAAAAAAAATAAGTCAAAGGAAATAGTGAAATACGATGCCCCAAATAAAAAAGAAAAAAAAAACCAAGTGCCTAAAATGGATCGCGATTTCACGATTTCTTACCACGAACCAGAGTTAAAAAACCCTAATAAGAACATCTCTACGTAGATCAGCCACACCTTCTGAGTTTCGACTTTTCCTCTCCGGAAGCCATGGCACCTAAATCCAAAACTCGTCTTGTTGATCAGCCCCCCTCCGCATCATCTTCTGAGGAAGACGGTAATAAGTCCGAGCTAAAAAAGAAAATTGATCAACTTCAGCAATCTGAATCAGAATCCGATGACACCTCTGAAGGAAAGAAGCCGGGGAAAAGAAAACGTGCACCTCCAATTTTGAAGAAAAAATCAGGCCAGAAACCGCAGTCGTCACCGGAAGCCTCCGACGTCGGCATCACCGTGCAGCCCGATCTCACTCCCAAGCAACCTTCAGTTTCCTCTTCAAAGGTTCCTGGATCTTTGAAGCCATCTTCAAGTCCACATCTAAAGCGTGCATTGCATGCCGTAGAGGAAGAATCCAAGAAGAAGAAAATCAGATCTGACGACGAGGACGTCCTTACCAAAGAAAAGAAGTCTGCGCACAACCGACTGTGGAGTAACGATGATCAGATTGCTATTCTCAAAGGTATGATTGACTACAAGGCTCAAACAGGGACTGATCCTAATGCCGATTTTGTTGCTTTCAATGACTTCATTATGGATAAATTGGACATTTCGTTTTCAAAGGCTCAGATCAAAGATAAGATTAAAAGGCTTAAAAAGAAGTTCTTGACCCTTTATGAGAAAGGAGATGCCCCTACTTCTGCTAAGCCTTATGAGTCAAAGGTTTATGAACTCTCAGCAAAGATCTGGGGAACTGAGAGCAACACCAATGCTAAAAGTCCGGGTGGTACTGGTGATATTGCCAAATCAGATGCAAAATTTGCCAATAGGAAGGTGAAAAGGCTTTCGGAAGTAAACAAAATAAGCAATTCCAAAAAGACTATTGAATCTACCAACATTATGGATACACCAAAAGCAGCAAGTGAAAAGAAGAAGAATACTGGGGATAAGGATAAAGAAAAAGAGAAGAAGAAGAAAAAGAAGCAGAAGACTCATCCAGAGGAAAAAGATGAAAAAACTGCTGTTGAGAAACATGATGAACAAATTGCCGTTGTTGAAAAAGATAAGCAGACTGCTGCTAATGGAAAAGGCAACCGGACCGCTGGCAAGGGTAGAGACAACCATTCTGCCTCAAAGGCAAAAGACCCTCCGACTGCTGCTAAGGGTAAAAACAACCATTCTTCCTATAAGGCAAAAGACAGCCAGCCTACTGCTAATGGAAAAGTGGTGAAAGGTGAACACACTGCTACTAAGAAAAATCTTAACCAGGCTTTTCTGAAAGATGCAATTAATGGTGAAGCTAAAAATGAGACGGGGGATTTTCAGTCCAAATATCCTTGCTTGGTTAGATCTTTCAATAAGGAAAACTATCCATTTAGTACTCAGGAGACAATAGATATGCTGAAGGAAAAAGTCAATCTGATCGAGAGTTCCCAGGCTGGTGAGGTTGAGGAGAAATGGGCCAAGCTATTGGAAGACCAAGTTGCACATTGTGTGAAGGCTGCAGATTTGGTAGCACTACAGACTCGATTGTTGTTTGATGCTATGAAGAGGTAACGTTGTAGATGTCAGTTCTGTTTGATGCATGTTGTGGATTAGTATTTTTCAACTTCAGTTCTTTTTTATGCATGTTTTGGATTAGTATTTTTCAACTTTGAAAAATTAAACATGGAATGTTTTTGTTCTTAGAAAAATGCTGATGCTACTATTAAGTTTTTTGCTATTTTCTCTATTGTAGTTGGTTGATTATGGTTTGGCCTTAAAATTCCTTTCTGTTCTCAGTTTCTTTGCTAAGCCTTTAGGACAATAATTAAGACACAACATACAAAGAGAAAAAACAATGTAAACAATAGACACGGGAGCTCGTTTGAGCAACATGACCTAAAGATAAAATGATAATCGGTGTAGGATGGTTATTTTCTTTGTTTGTTACTACAGTGTGCCTATAGACTGTGATACTGGTTTTAGTAGTATTGGGAACATGCTTGTTTTATTGCCATGGATCTTGTGCAGCATAAAATGCTATTTTGATTCACTAATGGAAGTCTTTCGATGATCCAGCTAGTCAGACTAGTCTCCTTTACGTAGTGGATAGGGATGCAAGCGAGTTGGTTATTAACAGAGCTACACATCCTAAACTGTCATTGGTAGGCCCAAGCCTTCTATTTTTATACAAATATGAATGCTAAAGGTGCTTCAAAGGGTAATCATTATCTTTCACTGCTTGTTCTCCTTCACCTCCTCTCTTCCAACCCAGCAAAGAAAACTTTACTACCCAGGTCGAAGAATCGGTCTTTCTAAAGATACAAGATCTATAGAACATAAGCAGGCATACCATCTTTCTTCATTAACAATAAGCTTGCTCTAGTGGCTTTTAGCGCTTGAACAAAGTTTGACCCAAATTGCCTGGTTAAGAACGAAAAATGACTTAATTACAAGAAAAGTACCAAAAATATTAGACAATAAAAATAGAAAGTTGATAAAGTTTCGAAGAGATGATGCGGTACTACTTAAGCCTTCTACATTCAACATTAGTGCTTCACTACTTCCCAAGATTTACATGAACATACAGCTTCAATTTAATCGAACAAGAAGCCAAACCTTCTTAAATGAAGTTGTTCAATTTAATCAAACGAGAAGGTAGGGTTAATTCCTTTGTTGATCTGGCTGACCAACATTTTTTGGGTTATATTGTGGTTGGAAGAAACCATTCATGCACTCTTTTACATTTGTACTATTGGAATTTGGAATGGAAAAATGTTCAATATACTTGTGTTGGTATGTTTGTTTGTATTCATATTCTGGGCTGATGTTGCGATGTGCCTAGGGGATAAGGTCTCGGGACCGGTCCAGATTGGGATTTTTTTTGTTCCGGGCCAAAATTGAGACTCGGGAGGGTAAACGATAGAGTTTCAGGTTTCCAGTCCTGGTCCCATTTTTTGCATCATGTCATGGAAACAACTTAAAAGGGGTGGGGGGTAAGGAGTGGGGGAGCCGGGGAGGGTTTACAAAAATATGAAAAATAAATAAATTGGGACGAGAACAGGCATGGATTCGGGCCGGGTCTAGGCCCGACTGGGCCGCCGGTTTGTAAGTGCTGGGCCTGGGACCGGCCCGAGGTCTGGACGGTTCCGGTTCGGGCCGGGCCACCCCCGGGTCACGGGTCGGGCCACTCGCCGGCCCGACACGGCCCTGTTAAACTCATTTTTTTTTATAATTTATACTTTATAGTTTTATACAAGCATTAAAAACAAACTTCAAGTGCATTTGTTTGAAATGAAATAGGAACTACATTTGACAATTAAGAAAAAAATACAATATGAAATGCATTTTGTAAATTGTAAATTTGTAATCGATCGGAACTTCCCGCACCTCCCGGTCCTTTGGCTTTGTCACATGACTTAATATGCTTCATTACCATCCCGTATCCGCGTGAAACTTCCATGCTACACATTTTCCCGCACCATTTGCAAGTTGCGTACCACATCTCGGTCCTCGGGTCCTTCTGCTTATCAAAATTATACCGTATAATGGCATATTGACTTTCCATCTTAAAAATGGTAGATATAATAATTCTACAAATACTACAATAGATGGAGATGACGATGGAGAAGATGTGTATAAAAATGTTTAAAAATAAGAGTATTTATAGAATTTTTTGTACCCCCACCCCCACCCCACCCCACCCCCGGGAGTAGGGGTGGACTCGGGTCCGGGATGGGTCCAAGTCGGGCCTAGGCCCGGGCGGGCCGGCGGTTCAAGAATGGTGGATCCGGGACCGGCCCGGGTAGCCACCGGGTCCGGGCCGAGCCGGGCTGGGCCTCCGATTTGGATTTTTTTTTTTGCTTTCCTAACCCCCCCACCCCCCACCCTACCAAACCCCCTCAAACCCATCCTACCCATCAAGTCCAACCCGGGTGGAACCCTGAAAATGAAAAAAAAATAAAAAAAATTCAATTTGGCCCCGGCCCGGGCCTGACCCGGCCGGGCCGGTTCACCAAAATTGAGACCCGAGCCCGGACCCGCCCTACCCCTCGGGCCTAGGCCCGACCCGGACCCGAGAACCGAGCTGGTCCCGGTCCCGCACAGTAGCGGGCCGGGCCGGTCCACGGGCCGGGTGGCCCGCCCTGAGTCCAACCATACCCGGGAGTCCCACCCTTGATTCAAACACCCAACGGCTATATAGCCGTTTGGGGGAATTGGGGCCTTGAGGAGCCTTTGATTTCAAATTTTATTTGTTTATTTTACTTTGAATTTTTAAATAAATTACATAATGTAAAATTAATTAATTTGAGAAGTGCTACATATAAAAAAAATGAACGTATATTTATTTGAAATATGAACTACAAGTTTACAAGTCACAATTGAGAATTAAAGGTAAAATTAAAACATGAAATATTGAAATACTAATCAATCGGAATCTCCGACATAGGTAGAGCCACCCTTGATTGTAGATTCATCTATAAAGTGTTGGAATGGGGTGATGTCAATTTCTTGAGCTCTATGGGCCGCTTTCATCCAATCGTGGTAGCATATAAACATCTCAAGAGATTCTGCGCTCAACCTCGTTCTACATTGCGTTAGGACATTGCCGGCCGAACTAAATTCTTGTTTCACGGCAACTGTTGAAACCGACATTGATAGCACTTGCTTAGCCATCTTTGCTAAAACCGGGAACATTCTTTCTTTTCCCTTCTACCAGTTTAGAACGTCAAAATCATCATCTTCTTCAAAATCAACATCATATGTTAAATACAAAGAAATCTCATTAAATGTGCTGTGTTGAGTAGCGGGAGTTGATTTCGTTTTTTTAATAAGATTGACAAATATAGATTTCAAAATTGATTTTCCTTTAGATGAAGATGTTTGTGTCAGGGGAGGGGACGCGTTGCCATATTGTGCATGAAAGTCATTAAATAATGCATAAAATATATCACTAACCTCGTGGTATTCTTTTTTCGGATCAATTGGGTTGTCCTCATACATTGGCATTGGACCAAAAAAAGCAGCATAATAATAATTCAAACATTCTTCTAAAGAACCAAGTCTAAAATGAGGATCGAGAACAAATGCAATACCATAAATATGCGGAATATGTGAATAATAATTTAAAAACTTTTCATTCATAAAACTAGCAAAATAACTCACATAATCAGCATTTTCAAAATTTGAAAAAGCACCGACGAGATTAACAGCTTCACGAATAAATTGGTTTGAGGTAGGTTTATAAACATGACTAAAAGTTTCAGTTGCATTATTAAAATATATCAAAGCATTACAATTTTTTTCACATGTGTCGATCTCAGGCGAGTTTATAATATAGTTATCATATTGTTTCATAAAAGCAGAAAAATGTTGTTTATATTTAAGAAGAACTGCAATTAACTTTTAAATACTATTCCAATGAATAGACAAATCTTTAGGAAAAACCACACATTTCTCCTCTTTCTATCAAATAATCATGCCATTTTTTTCTAAGTTGCCCATTACCTCAAATACGTCTAATCCCTCCCTTGACTACCTCCAAAGATGCTCCCAACGCTTTTAGACCATCTTGCACACATAAATTTATAACATGACATGCACATCGTTGATGAAAAAATCTACTCATCAAAGAAGTACGTAGAACCACACAATTCACACAATCTAGGAATAACAACAGTATTATTAGTAGCATTATCAAAACCAATAGAAAATACCTTATCAATTAAATTATACTCAATTAAACACGTTCAATCAAAATATAAATATGTTCAACGGTGTGACGATCATTAAATTCACGAAAAGCAAGAACACGTTTATGCATATGCTAATCATTATCAATATAATGTACAGTCAGACCCAAATAATGTAAATTATGATAATAATCCTCTCATATGTCAGAACATACAGTAACACGCCCAATCAAAGTTTGCAAATAATTTTGTAACCTTACCTTTTCCGCATCATAAAGCCTTGAAATTTCTTTCTTAACCGTTTTGCGACTATAACCTCTATATTGAGGATTTAAACAAGTTTGTGCATAATCACGAAAAGCAAGACTTTCAAAAAACAAATAAGGCAAAATTTCTTCAACAAGTAAGTTAGCCATACCAGTCAAATTTTGTGCATCATTCTATGAAAAATTACCAAAAGCTTGTTGGTTATTTGCAAACCTCAATAATTGAGTTTGCTTCCCCGTTCCGCCGCCTAATTTTGCATACTCCATCAGGTGTTTGGACTTAAGATGTCTTATGGCGGATCCGTATCCGCCGGAAATCTCCAAGCTATAATTTTTCTTGCACCAGTTGCAAGTTGCGGTCCAATTCCCGGTGTTCGGGTCCTTCCACTTAGAAAAATTATTAGCCATTAGTTCAGATTTACTTTTTCTCATACCAGTTTGGGATGAGGCAGGCTCGTCGGCGTCGTGGCTGCCGCCACCCTCCTCCTTGTCGTCGTCATGGCTGCCGCCACCCTCCTCCTCCTCGTCGTCGTGGCTCTCCGGAATTACTTCCTCCACATCGTCGTCCTCGAGCTCTTCTTCGTCAATGGTCCTCGGTTGGTCTTGGAAAAAGCGGCTATTATGTCGGTGCAATTCTTGTTCTAGTTGTTCGTCGGTAATCGCATCCCCATCCCTCCTTGCATAACCCGTATCAAAATCATCTCGGCTTTGAGATGAAGAGCCGATATGTGATTTACCTTTGCGGGATCTCTTGCTCGCAAGCTCGTTCCTTCGGTTGCGGTCGAGGTTACCCATATCATCCGAAAATCTACCACCTTCCATCTTAAT